AATTGGGGCCACTGGTACTACAAGAGCATTAACTGCCCTCAAATCTTGAACAAGCCTGTATGAAACATCAGGCCTTTTAACAGGATTGACTGGAGTATTATAAGGTGATATCACAGGTCAAAATTCCCTCTTTTAAAAATGTTTCAATCATGGGTCAGGGAAGGAAAAATGGGTGTATAGACAACAGCATTTAAATGTCAAGGGAACATCTTGAATAAAATAAACCAGTTAGTAGGCACAAAGCAGTTAGTTAATTATTAACCCTTTCACAACCTCCCTTTTGTCACAAAGTGACAACTGCTGTATTCACCCTTTATACCTTTCATCAGTATTGATTTACTGAATGCGCCATTGTCACCAAATTGGGAATACACTGTATATAACAGCAAACTCCAATTAGGCCACAACATGATATTATCAAACCACCCATTATTTTCCTCAAACTTCCTAGGCTGGGTATCCATCCAAATATCCAGTCCTGCCAATTTCCAGTAACATCCTGTTTAATTCCTGAGGCCAACTCATGTAAAGCCTTTATGCGCGATTGTATAGAGGTGGCATGATCACTTAAAACAGCACATTTCATCAAAATGTTCACAGCCATAATTATTTTTAAGCAGTAAATAATCTATAGTCACTCGATTCTAAAGCACAGCTTTAAGGGTTCCCTGGAGATCGAGCAACACCCCTTAGTTGGAGCTATAATGAAGGGAAAAAAAAAAAGCCAGTAATTGCATTTAAAAACAAACAATGCCAGCTTTAAATTCTGGAAATTTAGGACATTACCCAGTGACCCCACCCCCTTAGCGGAGGGGAGAATTTCCTTGGAGCTATAGTGAAGGGAAAAAAAGCCAGTAATTAGGATTTTAAAACTGGCAGTGACATATAGGAGCAGCCAGTGAGGGAGCCTGAGTGTATACACTGCCCCCATACCCCCTCCAAAGAGGACCTGTCACTAAAATACTATCACATAGGGGACTATTGGTCCAATATGTGATAGCAATAAAATAAAAAACACATTCAAGTTAAAAAAATAAAAAATTGTAGCCTCACATCCACATACGCTGACATCTCAGTTTCAGCCACGTGCATTCTGAATTTTCGGTATCGGTTTAGGCACCAGAATTTTCATTTTGGTGCACCACTAGTTGCCATGCTCTCCAACTGCTGCTATTCAATAACATTAAAATTAAACCTTGATATCAACACAATAAAAATGTCACAAGCTGTGCCATTAAATATACACCCACGTTAATATCAGAAAACATGCATTTCAAAGTGAAGAAAAAAAATAAAGTGTGCAACAAATATTCCCTTCACGATATTTAGTTTGCTCTCTCAAACAATATCCAAATAGCATCCAATGACAAATTTATATTTTCTTCCCACAACTATTTCTATGTTTAAGATGCAAAACAGTGGTCTAGCATCCTTCCAAAATATGCACAGTGATCCATCTTCACAATCTACTGCCCATTGACAAAACTCCACCTTTTTTAGTTACCTTATGAACCCTCCAGACCTGATCCATTTCACCTGAAAATGCCATGGTCATCAATTTACTATAGAATTTCTTTCTACAGCTCTGTCAGGGTTTAATACACAAACAGTGTGCCATCCACTCAGTGACCATAATTTGGAAAGGGTGCTGCACCAATGTTTGCATATTAAATGTGGGGAGGAAAAAACTCTTGGGCAGGTGCTATGTTTTTGGTTTGTATTTTCCGCAAACTATGTAGCCTTTTTTTTTTTTTTCTTTGTATTCAGAAAGGCATTCTCTGTGCTTAGAACTAGAATGGAGAGCTGACAAAAACCTAGACCAAATGATGTACAATAACCCATCAGCATGCAGAGCAGTCAAAACCTATTTTAGTTGATGTGATTTACTCCTGGTTGCTTTTTGTCCTAAAGCCATAGTAAAAAGTCAAAAAGTTGACTGTACACTACAAGACAGACCATAAAGTCTTACTTGTAGGTGCTTGAACTTGCATCATTTAGAAAAACAAAAAAATACTGGCATCAATAATGTAATTGGCACATGCACAAAACCCCGAGTGTGCTATGAATGCAGAGAACAAGGCCGCTATAGCAACTCTCATGTGCAAGCACAGTTACGATGTCATCGCAGCCCGACCCTTCCAACAGCAACAGCATTCAAACCTGGAGGGAAGACCGGGTGAAGATGAATGCACCTGTAGCAGTGACACTGCACTGCCACTGACACTGCCAAAATGTGCTGGTACTAACTAAATGTGTGTATATATATATTTTTTTTTTAACGTTTACTACCACTTGCAAAAAAAACAAAAAAAAAAGCTCCCCTCATTGCAGGATGGTACACTATTACCTTTTTAATGTTTACAGGTATCTGACTTTCCAAGAAAACCTCTCTGCTTCAAACAGTGATTGTTTAAGTCCATATTTAGTCAGAAACTTTATTTGCCCAATATCCTATTCCTCTCTGCCAAGAATCTGAGAAATCATCCTCTCTGCTTTTGGGATGTGACCTCTGGATCTTCAGTATTCTTCAAGGCACTGGGTGTGGAGGGACAACTGTGTTCTTCCAATATGCAGCCACATCCATTCTCTCAAGACATTGCAAAGCATCTGGGAGTGGGGTGAGACAGGGCCCAGCCCAGACTGGTACTAAGGAGGGTTATTAGCAGTAATATGGCATTTGAAAGAGCCATAGTGGGGGAGATTTACTAAAAGTGGAACGCTCAGAATCTGCTGTAGCTCTGCTGGTTAGTAAATTAGCTTCTAACTTCAGTTTAGTCAATCAGGCCTCGGCAATAACACCTGGAAGCTGACTGGTTTCTACGCAGAGCATGCAACAGATTTTGCACTCTCCAGTTTTAGTAACCCCCCCCCCCATTTTCAGGTCCCTTTTGGTCCGTCATAGAGCTACAGTTAAAGGCAAGCATGAGAAAACTAATAATGTTTAGTGTGTGTAAATAAAAACAGGAAATACCATGTACCATCAGTTATGTACCTACTAGTATGGTACAGTCTATTCACCGTTGCCAAGAAGCTAAGAATCACTTTTCAGAACCATAGAACAATTATCTGGAAAACCAGATAAAGGTAATCCATAAGAAAAAAAAAAAAATAGAACACTGGGGGATGATTGGGGAAAAAAAAAAAAAAAACAAACAACACTGAAAAATCATACAGAACAGAGTAAATCAGAAAAAAAGACTACACTATGCAAAAGAGCAGAAGACCATAGGCAATACCTAATCGTTATGATCATCAATCAGCTCCATTTAGGGGCCATAATTCACTTTTCTCTGTGTGAATGATGTGAAACATCTGACTCGGAGAGAAAATTGCCTAATAAAGTTTTTTTGCCCCCATTCAAACTGAACAAATGTAAATGCAGTTTCAAAGAGCAAACATCTCTGCAAAATTCTTATAAATACACCCCTCAATGTTGTTTGTAGGTGTAACTCTGCAATGGAGCATTAGCTTTTTGTTATTTATTATATAAATAGTTCATTTAATCCATAATAAACCTGTCACATTTGTAGGTCAGTAAATGTGTGCCATGCAGGATAAAAGTGCATTCTGTCTACAAATTCTCTGAGAAAATGACAGTGACAAGGTCCTCTAGTGTTCTGCAATTCTCAAGGCACACGCTCAGTTTGGCCCATGTGAAATCCCAACTGTCTACAAAATTGACCATGTATGTAATAGATTAAAAATGGATAATCCCTTTATTTCATATTGCAACATGAGAAGTATTAACAATACACACTCAGAAATTCAGGTAAGGTAAACAAATACATTCGGGTATAGTTTGTCTGGTGTGACTCTAAAATGATGCAGATCAAGGGAAGTCTGTTTGTAGACTTAAGATTTCCCTCATTTAAAAAACTGAGCAGTAAATTGTATACTTGTGAGATCAGCCTGAATAGAACCGTGTGTGTTCTGTCATAGGGAAATGTTTACTCCCTGCTGTTTCAGCATCACTTCTGCTCATGTGCCTTGAGTATAGGAACTGAAATAAAACAAAAGTATTGACACAATGCGTAGGGAAGACTTTGGATTGTCTATTTAAAATGTTTACTTAATATGCAATTATTATTCTTAGTTTAAGTGCACTTCCACAAGCTTATATTTTCTTTAGGGTACAACAAAATGATCTAGTTTTTCTGACAACCCACCATCTACCACAGACATTTTGGCTGAAAAATGCACTTATCAGTAAACACATGTTCAAATAAAAAGTGTAAAACAGCGCTAGATTCTACACCCCCCCCCCCCCCCCCATCCCTTTCACAGACCCAGATATAAGATATTCTAATGAAACACAGTATACCTTACAAGACGTGAAGACAACAAATTGTGAAATTATTTTTGTATCTTTAATTTGTATACTTTTTGTGCTGTGGCTAAAGGAAAGAGTTTGCAAGGCTGTAGTATAACATTCCAAGTACTCCCTTCCATCTTTATTGACTATATTATTGTCACAGACACTGCGAGGGGCTAGAACAGCAGCAATTGCATCACACCGTTCTCCAAGAATTCAAGTTTTATAAGCAAACTGTATTTTAAAAAAAAAAAAAAAAGAAAGGAAAAATACAATTCCTGATTTGAGTAGATGCAGGGGCATGAACTGAAGCATTTAATTGAAAGTTAGTCTGCAAAATGATAGCGTTTATCATGAAGAATATCGGTCGTCAATGACTCAAATAGGCTCAAATTCTAGCAGTATTAAACACGAGCAAAAGTGATTTAACCCTTAAAATAAATATTCAGGAAAACCTCTCTGTACATACATGTGAAAGATTGTACAACACTTTCACTCTAGGAGCAGGGAAAAGAAAAACTTTGTTCGTATAAGCAGCAGAGATCTGCTGTTCCAGCCCATTGTCCCAGCAGAAAAGGGAGGTGCACATACAGTTGACTACACGTAGCTCACTATCTTATGGCCTTTGTGGACAGGGAAAACATATCAACTGTTATCCCTTTTATTAAGCTTTCTTTGCCTTTTCATTTTACAGCATGCCAAATCCTTTGGCATAAGTGATAGCCTTTAGTAATCGCTCTTTCAGCTTTTCTTTGCTTGAGTACTCCGGAAGTAATAGGACATTAAAGCATGTATGAGATGTTGGTAACCTGTAGAGGACATTGAAATAAAAATGAATACAAACCTTAACAGCATGTCTATATTATGACATATCAAATACAGGATAAATCAAACCAAATGAGAATTTTACGTTACACATGTAAGATACAAATCTACGTGCAGCTGTTAACTTACACGAAAAAGGAAGAAAAAAAAAAATCTCTCTGCAATGTGGTAACCGGCCCTACGATTTCAAGCATTAATAATGCACTAAGGCAATGCAACGCTGATGCACAGTAGGCCAGTCCATGATAACATAACCTGAGGCTTGGTCCTGAAGAAGTCACGTGACGCAACGGGGTTTATTTACTAAAGCTGGAGAGTCCAAAATCAGTCTGCATAGAAACCAATCAGGCTTCTTCAATGAAGCTTTGGCAATGAAACCTGGGCTGATTGCAAAATCAGACTCCCTTCTGCATAGAAACCACTCTCCAGCTTTAGTAAATAAACCCCAATGCGTCAACCGCCATACGTTCGGCGTGACGCCATCTTGGAACACCTTATTTTCATGCTCTAAACCCAGCACATGGGGAGATTTCCTTGATACAAGCTACTATAATGTGCGTTTGCATTTTGGCTTATCTTTATGTGCCAATAAAGCAGTGTTACACTATGGAGATTGTGTTCTTCTCTCGTTCTATGGGCATATGAGCTAGGATTTATATGAGAGTACCTATTTACCTACTGACCGGTCCAGAGGGTTATATCCCAGTGGAAAGTTGATTCCAGGATATCTGCCTACACTACTGGATACAAGGAGCGTCTGTTCGGGGGGGGATCCATACATGCTATGTGGCCCTGCTGGGTCACGAAGTGGAGGTGAGAGGCCATTGCAGCCATTTCGGGATCACATTGATGATGTGCTGTGTACCCACATCTTGCATGATCAGGAGGATTGCAGCACTGATTAATGGAGTTATTGCACAGATTTTTATATGTTTATTATCTGTCTGTGCACGGAGTGTATGTGTTTGATCCCTCTGTAGGGATTCACCTATTGTTGGAGTGTGTCCCAATCTGGGTACCAGGGGTCACATTTCCAAATATCCCCATGTGGATTGGGGTCACCATTGTTGATTTATCACTATTACTGGTCCACCCTTAGGACCATGTATGTGTTTTATACACCTTGTGTCACTTATTGTTATTCTTATACTAAGTGCTGCATCAATTATATATACATCTTTATTCAGTCCATGATAACACCTCCTACAACCAGTATGCCTCAGTTTTGTAGCTAAGACATACTGACAGCACAATCAAACACAGAGGGATGGACCTGTGTCCCTCAATGGACTGTAAGAAAAGTTTTATACTGCAAGTACATATACTGGCAAGCAACAAAGAAACTGTAGACCAGCTCAGGATAAACCCTCCCACTGTCAGCATGCCTCAGATTTTTAATAGTGTCCTGGAAGGATGGGCATTATTCTGCAGTTCTGCTGTGTTAAAGACAAATTTATTTATTTGCTGCCACCTTTTTTTCCTTTTAATCAGGACTCTTTGCTAAAGTTCTGCTGGAGCTTTGCCTTTTCAATTGCAACTCCTCAGCGTGGCTGTCCACAGACTGGCTTTGAGTACCAAGACTCTGCTTGACTGGTGTTAGGGGACTAGCTTGGAAGGGACCTTTGGCAGTGTGTTCTGTGTTGGTCATTTTCCAGTGACTCCGATCTATTAAAAAAGATAGCTGTGAAGTGCTTTTCAGGTCCAGAACTGCACTGCCTCAAAGTTTACCCTGTCTTTGAAAATGACATTAGGCCTCTTTCCAAGAGGTTTCAGCTTCTGTAAGAGCAGTGTGAACAGTAAGCTTTTACAAAGCATTTGCAGAGCTTTCAGTAAGCTTTGTTGGAGCTTTTAAAGTAACATTCAGCTCCAGTTTGTAACAGACCTAATGGTAGTGCCGATTGCCACTTTAAGCAAGCTGCTAGCAAGCTTCTGCACTACTTGCCTGCTGAAAGCTTGCTGAAGCCTACTATCTGCTTGTTTAGTGTCAATCAGCATTGCATTAATATCTGTGTGTAACATTTCCAAACTGAAGCTTGTGCTTTAAAGGCCTGAAGAAATCTGCTCAAAGCTTGCTGAAAGTTCTTTATACTAGCTTGCTGTTTACACTACTCTTACACAAGCCGAAGCCTGTGTGAAACTGTTTTTAAGGAGTAGGCTCATCGGGCAGAGTGCTGGAACCTACCTCATTTACTTAGGTCGCTGGGCACCATTCTTCCCCGTTTCTGGCAGTTTTGCTGCAGAAGGGGCTAAATGTAGGATTGAGCGCTGACATCATCCATTGGATGAAGTGACACGTACTCTTTTCTGCCATACAGCTTCAGGTAAGCATCTCCCAGCTTCAGCCCCTGCTTGTAAAGAGTCACATGGGACATGGATCTATCCCTGCTGCCTGCTACAATGACTTTTGTTAGCTCCATGTATCCGACCCTCACTAGACACCAACTGTGTGGGTTTCATGAGTACCTGAGGCTTTGCCTTTTACCCTAAACCTTTACAGTGCCTTACTGCCACATAGTCAAACAAGTCTAATTCTAGACATGGGCGAGGGACAGTCCCGCTGTACTGACTGGCCTCAGCTCACACTGTACTAAAGACTCTGGGGCTGCTTGCAGTGCTCTCACCAACTTAGCTGATGTTTGCACCATGAAATCCCTTTGGCTGGGGTTTTTTAAACACAGTCGTGCAAAACAGTTCAAGGATATTCACTGCTGCAATCTCTGTAAATCCCCTTAACAGCAGGTAATCCAGCTGCTGACCCTGGGAGCCCATCCTCACTCTGTGTAAAGCCATTCAGAAAACAGACCACAAACCAATGACGTCACTGCCTTTCATCAGACTTTTATTCAAGTGGACAAGGTAGCTATACATCTTTCCTCTTATTGCAGTGAATGCATGAAGTTAAAAAAAAAATTTAGACTTTAGAACCACTTTAAGCCTCCCTGTATCCCTCAATGGATGAGAGAATAGGATATCCTCCTGTAGGTGGCAGTATAACCCACAGGTTAAAAACTCCCTTTGTCCAACTATGGATACGCAGCGGGGTCATATATGCATCCCATGTATTCTCCAGCAATGGCATTAAAGCCTTTCAAAAGGCTGACTTTGATCTGTATGCACTGCACTACCTACTGGACATGACTCATAACAATTTATTGTGGCCTGCTATCATATGCTATCTGTATTAATGCTAACTATTTCATAGTCAAAGTGTACTTACAAACCCAAGATTGTGAGATCATTCGATCCATCTTTTATGCGCTCGACTGTGTAATGGAGACCTTACATTCTAACTGACATGCTTTTTTCCTATGGATATGTGCTTTTTCATGTAACGACTTGCACTGTTGTTCTCTGTATGGTTTTAATTTATTGGCTTAACATCAATAAAAATGTTCCACACACACACAAAACAAACACACACACACACACACAAAAAAAACAACACACACACACACACACACACACACACACACACACCTTCCAGTGTCTCCCAATGGACAAGAAAGAAAAATATTTTATTATAATGGCAAAATAAAAGTATGCTTTTTTTTTTCCCTAGTTCTGGCTGGTGGTAGTTTAAAGCAAACCTTATATCAGGCAAAGAGGCAAGGTTACTTGGCTGCAGCTCCCTCAGCGGAAGAAGCTAGCAAAAGAAAGCCTTGCCTAAGCTACGAGTTGCCCTAGTTAGAGCGGGTGAAAGGAACTGTGGAGGAAAGGGTTCAGGGTGAGTATCTGCTGCTGTAGAGGGAGGCATAGCAGTAAGCCTGTTGCTTTACCCTGCATTATCAAAGCACAGGTTTGCGTTACAATAATTCCTGTAGCTACAATGTGTCAATTTTATTCTACTACAAAGCCCCCCTAACAGCAACAAGTGGCTGATACACTGACTGGTGACACTATCTACATGGTATTGTTAAAAATAAGTGTAATTTATTGGTAACAATGTCAGTGGGACAGGTAATGAAGGAAATCTCCCAAAAAGGTAACACAAAAGCAAATAAAAAAAAAAAAAAACCTTCATTAAACGTTTTAACTGGTATACAGTGTGTATGCATGCAAGCCTGTTTTGAGAAAGCATACTTCAAAAACATTTTCATTTCACACAATGCTTTGCGATGGCTTCACGTTACTTTGCTGCTTTCCTGTGGGTTAGCTGCGCTTTCCCAAAGAATTCTATTATGTTCCGCGGTTTTGGTATGCTTTCAAAAAGTGCACCAAAACCGCAGGATATAATTGAAGTCTGTGGGAAAGCGCTGCTAACCTGCACAAAAACCACGGGTTAGCTGTGCTTTAACCAAAGGGCAATGTGAAGCTGTCTTTAAAGCGTACATACAGCCAAACCTCTGCTTTACTTTTAAATAGAGCAGGAAAAAGTTAAATTCCTGTATTTTTTTGTCTGTGTCCTACTGGGGAGATCTCGTCACTTCCTGTCCTAGAGACACATCAAAAAGTAACAGGAAATATCTACCTCTTTAGACTATTGTCAGTGAACACTAAAGATTTCTCCTCACCTTTTCTAATGGATTTCCGGTTACTTTTTGTGTCATTGACACCAGGACAATGAAAGGTGCCAAACTACCCAAGCTTGGATACAGAAAGCATTACAAAACTATAATGATATAGCACCATTTACTCCTGTTGCAGAATCAAGGAAAAGAGTATTGTCAAACATTGCAGCTCTAATTACTATGTTCTCATTTAACTTACCTGTCAGTGTCTGGGCCATTTTTGGCTATGATCATCTTTAGTTTACCTAGTCCTCCCACAGGAGCTCTGTCTGTGCCTGTTGTAAACTGCAAAAACAATCTTTTCTGCTCTTCGGTAAAGGAATTTACAATTTCCCAGAATTCCCTGAAAGAGTAATTAAAAAAAAAAAAAGGAAGATGAACATGTAATTTCATCCCAGGTTTTGTAAATGAAAAATAAGCATATGGAAAACAAAGCAATAACTAAAGCACCATTTTTTTCAGCAGTCAGAATTTAAAAAGGCCAATTCAAAGTTGACCTCTTCGGAACAGTACGACTCTTCATAACAGCTATTACACCAACTGTCTAACTCCTGTAAACATAAGTTCTCATTACATTTTTTATGTACTGTGTAGTGTAACATTTGTATGTTTATATTCATTGCAAACCTCAGAATATGCTAGTGCTTTCTAAATAAAAGTGAACAACTCATGGCTTTCCATCTCTTATTATCTGCACAATGTGAAAGATGCGCACCATCTAGAAACAAATGTGCACCAGCATATTCCCTTCTGCGGCTCATAATTCAAAACAACAGATAAACTTGATATTGAAGGGCGCTAGGATGATAGGTATATTAAACAGGTTTTCAGATGCGGTCTGTAATGTAAAGTCTATTCAGAGCCCTACAAAGCAGATCCACAGGAGGAGGAAGAGTCATTCCTCGGCTTCATTTAGCAGTCTATAGGTAACCTGACCCAAGGAGCTATATAAAACAGGCCATTTTTAGATGATTCTGGTTAACATACAGGAAGGAGCCTAGAAACAGGTAAATGTGAAATACACATATGCAATATTTGATATATACTTCACTTAAAAAAAAAAAAAAAAAAAAAAAAAAAACAACATTTACAATTTTTTTTTTTGCCCCAAAGTTGATAAAAATATGTACGTCAAATCCAAAAAAGTTCGGGACATGTGTAAAAATCGGCATATAAGCAGAATGTAATAATCTTCAAATCTCAACTCATATTTTATTCACAAAATTACCATGGTGTAGCATCTCCTCTTAAAAAAACCCCAAAAACTCTGTAAATGTCTGGGAACAGATGCTGAAATTTTTCGGAAGAGGAATTTTGTTCCCATTCTTGCCCAAACATATGCTGCTCTAAATCCTGGATATACAATATCTTTTAGCTCTTTCAAGAGGCCTATTAAAGGAGCTAGATGGTCCGAGCGTGTAGCCTGCTTGTCCCACATCTGTGCTTCCTGATCGGACTGACCCTCCGCCTGTCCCGGTGGCATCACTTCCTCCACTGCACTCCAAGTTGGTTGTAGGTCTCTTTCTGTACAGAGGCCACTGGATCGGCTTCACAGCACCATTACTCTACAGGACAGACCTCCATCGTGCTCACAATAACAAAGTTTATATTCATAGGTAAGCACTACACTTGCTTTTTCTGCAGTTTTTCCTTAATCTGCCTCGCTGCTGCAAAAGATGGCCTCAAAGATATATACTCACCGAATAATTTGAGAGTCTCTAGTGTAGCCCCCATCATATTCAGTTGTTTCTTTAAGTGCTTGAAAATCTAAATTCTGTGAAGAAAATATGCAGTTAATATAGACAACCTTTCAAAAAAATGAAGAGTAATAGTAAGTAAGGCACTGGAAAGAAAGTAAATCTCTTACCCTACTGCCACAGATAAGGAGTTCTATCTCCTCAGGTCTGAACAAATACTTTAATGGGGACTCATTGGTGACCATGTGAAACCCCCTTCTGAAGGCTTTAAACTGTTTTTCCACAGATTTATTCAAAATATAATCTGCATAGAGACTAACAAATTCCTAGAAAAAAAATAAAAACATTAAAATAAAAACTCAGATACATGCATAATATTTATGAAATGTATACGTCTATTATCAGAAGTAATACGGGGCAATCTGATATTCAATTTATATCTGCCACTGTAGTAAACATGTCTGATGGGCAATAACTGCATATTGAACTGCCAAGTTGGAAGAGGTCATCATATGACACCATGTGCCACTGTTTTTGTCTGTCTTTGCTGGTGCCACCAATTCATTATATGCCAGCAGCCAAGTCTTTCACATTTGGAAATACCAAAGTATGAAATCTGATAACAATTCCAGCTGTGGCAGGTTCGCACGAACAGGTACCGAAGAGAACTATTTTTTTAAGTTTGGACGTTTTTGGATCTTCGAGCTGCAAGCTACAAATCGCTCAAGTGTGAATCCAGCCTTACAGTAAGGCCCCCTTCACACCTGTCTGGTATATTGCAGTGTGTTTCCACACGAATGTGAGCATATGCTGTATCGTGCGTTGCGTTAAGTCACCCATTTATTCTGAATAGGCTGCCAAGTGCCAGAACACATAAAAACAGGACGCACACACTATACCATAAAACACAGATGGTTCACGTCTTTGCATTATAAAGTGCTAAAACGGGTATGACCCAGCACAGCGCAACACTGCTGTTTGCACAATACATTAAATTTTATTATAATGCACAAGGTGTGAAACTAGACTAAAAAGGGCCAACATTCCCTATTATACAAGATAAAGACAAACATATAGAAAAACTGAAACTAGATTATGAATATTCATTAATAAAAAGGTAATACAACAAATTGGGTCAGTGAGCCTTTTAACTGACCTGCTAAGATAGCACAGTAAGTAATCCAAAAACTGCATACCTTTCTGTTTTCATTTGTAATAGGAATTTTATCTCCATTCTCTTTTAGATCATGCATTAAAGGATTTCCAAAAAGATCAGTTTGTGATATCTGAAAAGTTATCATCATGTCATCCTCAACATTGCCCTCATACTCCAACAGTTCTTTTAAACTTTGGTACAGGACCTGTAAGAGATATTTCATTCAGTAAGGTTTATCAACTGAGAGCATGTACAATTGATGAGAAAGGTCCTCAAAGACTCTTATGTGGCTTACAAGCAACTTTGATATACTGTATAAATGTGCTAAAAAATAGCCCTAGAGACAAGTAGAAGTTGTCTAGTTTGTTATAGTTAAGGTCTGAGTGTTATATCTCCATAATTAGTAGCTCAAAGGAAAGGGTGGTTGAAAAAAATAATTGTTATATGATGGATATTCATTTTGTTTATGATGGTTATTAATTTGAGTGTTATGTAAATGCTTTTGGAAACTCTAACTTACAGGGTGAGAGTCTGCCAGATCGCGAAATGTTCCTTTTTTCCCCATCAATTTTCGATAAACAACCATTGGAAAATGCACATCTAGAATGCAATTGTTGTAAATTGCCAGGCCCAGAACAATTCCAATGAGAGTAAACTGTCCTTCAGTCTCAAACGAAGATGGGTTGAACCAAAAGAGTTTTGTGGACTCATCATAGGTAAACATGCCTGCAGGAATGAAGTAATACCATAGAAACCAGGTCATTTACTATTGGTTCTAACAATACGTATATATACGTTAAAGCTCATAATACTTGGAGTCACAAACCAAGAACAAGTACGCAGAGAAGATCTTCTGATCCCTCCCAACTCCCTGATCTGCATACTTATTCTAGCTTAGTAATTTATAAAGTACCAAAGCTAGCCCAGGCAACACAACAGCAATAGCAGCTCCTATAGCTTTTCCATGACAATATTAATATAACACAACATGTTTATAAATCTGAGTTGCATATCAATGGATAAATATCCGAGAAAAAAAGATAATCTTTTGGTTCATAAAAACAAATACATGGCCTGGGTAGGTAAACGGTTTTAACCACTTGCCCGCCGCCCTATAGCAGAAGTACTGCTACAGGGCGGTAGTGCTGCGCAAAATCACATATACATATATATCGGATAGGGCTTAATTAGGGGGCAACTCCACCAAATATGTGTAAGAGTGCCAACCTTTCAGACAACACTAACAGATGTTTTAATTGGTTGAGAAGATTTGACGTAGTCTGTTAGCAGATCTACACCAGTTGGTCAGAAGTTTGAAATTCCACTCCTGAACTGTACTGGCCACACTATAGGCGAGAGTACAGCACATTCATTTAGTTTTCTGTGTAATGGATATATTCAATTCCCCCTCCCATTCCTCAATATAATATATATTGTCTGTGTATGAGGGTAAGAAGCTGTATAAAAAAAGGATACGATATGATCAGGAATTTTTCCCGACAGACATATCTATTCAAAGAAAACAGGTGCAAAGGTGTAATTATGTCGTGAAAAAGTTCTGATAAAAAGGGTAAGCGGTAGGCATTGGAGCTATGCACCCCTGGGAGGGAGGCTGGGATTAAACAACTGGGAAGGGGGTTGAATGGAATTGTCAAGAAAGTTGTCAAAGAGGTGAGTGGGCCCTTTTGAGGAGACAGTTATAAAAAAATTTCTATGGCAGACCTTCTGAGCACTGATGGAAAAGGAATGGTAAAGCTGAAGAGCCAAGAGGAGGATGAGATCCATGGGATAGCCCTTACAAGGATAGGAGAGATATCCTTTTCTATTAATGACTTTTCAAGTCAAAGCAATCAAGAATATGCGCATGGTGGGTTACTTAGTACTATAATTCAATGTCAGGTAAAGCCTTCTCCATGTTCCTTCTTCTTGTGAAAAATCTTATGTCTAAGCCTAGGCCTGATGCCTCTGCAAACATTTTATCAATTTTGATTTTGTAATGAACTGTTCCAAAGGGTGGCATTGGCTAAATGTTCCATTACCAAGAAATATAAATAAGGCTGATAGAGGACAGCCCTGTTTTGGAAATAAGGAAAGTGGTCTGAGAGTGGACCATTTACTCGGATTCTGGCAGTCAGTGTATAAAAGGACCACTCTCTTATCAACAAAGTCAGAGAGAAATCCAGAGTGTAGTAAGAAGTATAGGAATCTCCAAGCCTACCCTGTTGAAAGCCTTTTTTTTTTGGCATCAACTGATAATAAGCAAAGGAGAAATAAACATAATTGAGCATACAGCATTAAGAAATTAGTTTTCTTGATGTTGTCTTTGGCATCTCATTGTGAGACAAACCCTACTTGTTCCTTGTGTTTAAGATGGTATCAAAGGTATAAGACAGGTTGCCAAGATCCTCAAGGAGATTTTAAAATTTACGTTACTGAATGAGATGGGACAGTAATTATTAATGTATAGCATCATTCCCCTGTTTAGAAAGAAGTACTATATGGGCTTTTAGTGTCCGTTTAGGAAATGGAATCTTCACCATGTTAAACGTTTGTTGTAAAAAGCGGGAGGTACGAGATTCCTGAAACAATTATAGCATTTGTTGGTCAGACCATCGGGGCCAGGGCTTTTACTAGATGGGGACATTTGCCTACCTTCCTCTTTGACATGACAACACAGTATTTTTTTGGCCCTGAATTCCAAAGCACACATTGTGAAAGCAGACTTCAAAGAAACATCCTTTTTATGTTGGAGCTGCCAACATGATCAGTGATATGTCAAATTTATCCGATAAGCACCAGGTGGTGTGATTTACACAGTGAACTGCACACCCTGACTTTTCATCAGATATGGCAAATAGGAGACGTTGTGTGTGAAAAAACACTGCTGTTAGGCAATTTGTTTGAGACTCTTATGGCTAAAGGGCTTGGTGAAATTTATTACCATTTCGACATACTATTGTGCTGTACATTTCAGGTATTTGTCATGAAATTACTGGGGCCTCAGTGTGTTTTATTTATATTTATATTTATATATATATATATATATATATATATATATATATATAGAGTATTTATTATTTATTTATTATTTATTTCAGGTACTTATATAGCGCCGTCAATTTACACAGCGCTTTACGTATACTAGGGACAATTTAGACAGGATCCAATTCACCTACCAGCACCTTTGGATTGTTGGAGGAAACCGGAGTAGCTGGAGGAAACCCACGCAGGCACAGGGAGAACATGAAAACTCCAGGCAGGTGGTGCCGTGGTGGGGATTCAAACCAACGACCCTAGTACTGCCAGGCGGAAGTGCTAACCATATAGCCACTGTGCTGCCCATTTATTTATGCAGAATTAATTTCTATTAAGGTTATTTACTTGATACTCTGTGTTCCCAGATATCATTCCGCATACACCCTTTTGTAAAAAGTGCCATATACCCCCCCCTTTCTCTCTTCTCCTCCTGCCCTTTTACCTCTCACACAGCACTTAGGTGACGCACACTCATACAGTATCAGCACTATACGTACCTGTGGTTTTTCAAAGACATCCTCCCGCACACGGGTAACCAGGGCCCGCAACCCCCAGCGCAGCACCCTCTTTTATACTCTTCGATGCCTTATTATGGTGCTCGAGTATTACATGCCTACACGTTTGTTGTGGCAGTTTGTCGCCTCTTAACCGCTTACCACCAACTCTATTATTATTCTGTATGACTTGAGATGATTGTCTATGTCAATACACATGATCACCTTCTTTTGTATGGCTTATGCTAGCTGCCTTCTATGCCTGCCCTCCATTCCCTTTTCCCTTCTATTCTTTTGTACCAAATGTATACTATGTTTTGCATTTTCCTAATAAACTTTATGGAACAAAAAAAAAAGTGCCATATACCCAATTCCCAAGTTAAAAAAACAAAACAAAAACACACCACATTAAGAAGTCACTTACCTATATCGGGGTTAAATATTTCTTCCACAACAAGCTGGAAAAACTCTTTTGAAACTCCTCCTTCATCTACCCCCTGCTCTCCCTCAAACTCCACATAAAGCTGCTTTTTCAGGTCTGCCGGGTTTTCCATGGCAATCATTTCTAGCTAAAGAGGAAATAAGAATTTTAAAAAGTCAATGCTGCAGCTCCTTTTAAATTATCAACCATTGTGTGTCCATGCATTTCTAGCTCACTTTCTTTACAGCTGAATGGCTTCTATTGTTAGCAAAAACATATTTTGCCTTATCTACCCTCTGATGCCATTTCAGGTTGAGAACCTCTTTACATTGTATCTCTTTAGACTAAAAAAATTAAATAAACCAAGCATGCATGGTACATTTCATATTTTTTTTTGCAAAAAATAAAATAAAACACACACATATCAAACATAGTAATTAGGCAGTATTTGGGCAGGCAGCTAGAGAGATTTTACATTTATTGGACCAAAGCCAAGAAAAAAAATGTCACTGAAAGCATAAAGTGTGAAATTATAGCTATGAAAGAATGCTATACAATTTAAAGAGGGTCAACCAATTTTCTCCTCCATTATCCTTTATACAGCACCTAGCATTCTGTGTGACTGTTCAAGTACAAAGGTTTACAATGTTGCTCTGCGCTTAAAACTTTGCTCCCTCAATCCAAATGCTGCAACTTTTCTAAGGCAGATGTCACATTTGCAGTCAACAAATAAGTTACAAGATTGTTAAAAATGCTGTGAGAATTTTCCCTGCTTCTACAGGTTACTTTGTCACTGGCTGGATGCACAAGGCATTGCTTCTACGGTGATGGAAATGCTGCAGAATAGGATTTGCAAATAAGAGAGCAAGGGCCTTGCTCATCCAGGTAGCAAGGGACAGTGTTGTGTAAACAGTTGATTATTCCTCTGTCATGTCCTATCCCAAGTCATGATCCTGTTACTGGCAAGTTGTTGCCAGTGACAGGATAGCAAGTGTGACATCATTTAGTTTCATATGAATTGTAGCAACTATTTAGAATTTCAGGTCAAGGTGTCTACAATAAATTTACAAGACAAATAAGGGCTTGTTCACACCAGCCACTGCATTCCAACACAGAGGCTGGTGTGTGTGGTGCTGCACTACCAAGATCAGCACAGTGATGATGCACTGATCTTGGCGCATCGCACGGTTTACGGTTTCCTTTTTTTAAACAAATTTGGAAATGTCACACAGACGTCTCATAAAGTTCAGTTGCTGGCCACAAAGAACAAGGTAGTGGACTGCTTTGCAAAAAAAGTACAGCATGCAGTACTTTTTTTTGCAGAGCACCATGCCAGCACACCACAACACATTGGTATGATCTAGGCGCATAGACACACACAAGGCATTTTGCCTTGTCTTGCGCTGGGATTGCCGTATATGCCGTTCTCTTGGGAAGACATGGGTTCAAAATATCTCTATACTCAACTGCACGTGTAACTTTTTTTTTTTTTTTAAGAAATTGGAAAAGTTTTAAAGGAAAATTAAGCAAGTTTATTTTATGTCAATTTATATTTGTAACCTTTACTGATCCAATTTAAAATTTATGTCATTCTCTGAGATAAACATTTTTGTCCTCTTTGCTGGTAGACAAAATTAACCCTTATATGAAAAGCAGAAAAAAAGAAGACCCAAGTAGGTAATCATTTAGTGCTAATGAGCAACTGAAAGAAAGCATCAAATTGGTTGCTCAACTTTCTACTTTCCATCCTCTCTTTTCTTTTACCAACATCACTTATTGTTAAGAGCATTGTGGAACATCAGAAGGAAAGCTATAATCTAGCAAACAATACTTCTCTACATTTTGCAAATCATTAGTCACAGAAATGTATTAAAAAGTGGGCAAAATCATTAAATACCATAATGCTGGTCTGGCACTTTTTTTTTTTTTTTTTTTTAAACTGGGCTACAATCTAAAGTCTATGAGGCACCTGCAGAGGATCTGAGAGAGGCTTATGCAGGCCATAGATGGGTCGAAAATCGGCCGATTTTTCGGCCGAAAATAAAATCGGCCGATTTTCGGATCGTTAGTGGGCGATTTGGTCGGACCGTTTTTCGGGTATTTTGGCCGGTTTTTTTTCCGGTAAAGTGGGAAAAAAATCGGCCGATTTTGCCGATCGGCTGATTTTCGCGGCAATTAGTGGGCAAATCGGCCGATTTTTTACCGATAAAAAAATCTGCGCATGAGCAGTGACCTGCAAGAGGAAGACAAAAAGAAGAAAAAGAAGAAGAGGATGAAGAAGAAGAGGATAGGATGAAGAAGAAGAGGATGAGGATGAAGAAGAAGAATGAGGATGAAGAAGAAGAGGATGAGGATGAAGAAGAAGATGATGAGGATGAAGATGAGAAGAAGAGATGAGAAGAAGAAGAAGGATGAGGATGAAGAAGAAGATGAGGATGAAGAAGAAGAAGATGAGGATGAAGAAGAAGAAGATGAGGATGAAGAAGAAGAAGATGAGGATGAAGAAGAAGAAGATGAGGATGAAGAAGAAGAAGAGGATGAAGAAGAAGAAGAGGATGAAGAAGAAGAGGATGAAGAAGAAGAGGATGAGGATGAAGAAGAAGGATGAGGATGAAGAAGAGGATGAGGATGAAGAAGAGGATGAGGATGAAGAGAGAAGAAGATGAGGATGAAGAAGAAGAGGATGAGGATGAAGAAGAAGATGAATGAAGAGGAATGAGGATGAGGATGAAGAAGAAGAGGATGAGGATGATGATGAAGAAGAGGATGAGGATGATGAAGAAGAAGAGGATGAGGATGAAGAAGAGGATGAGGATGAGGAAGAAGAAGAGGATGAAGAAGAAGAGGATGAAGAAGAGGATGAGGATGAAGAAGAAGTAGGATGAAAATAAGAGGAATTCCAGTCCAGAAAAAAGTGTCTCTGCAGTGAGCTCCGCTATTTCTTTGACAGTTCTCTGACAGTTCCTTGACATTTACAGCGGTTGCAACATTGTATCTATTTGTTTCCGAATAAAAACATCAGTATCCTAAATGGAAACAGATACATTGTTGCAACTTCTATAAATGTCAAGGAACTGTCAAAGAAATAGCAGAGCTCTCTGCAGGGACACTTTTTGCCAGCTCTAGACGGAATGAAAATCGGCCGATTTTTTTACCATTGATGGTAACGTCGGCCACTTGAACGACCGATTTTTCATTTTTTAAAAGAAAAATCTGCCGTTTTTTCTCCCCATCTATGGCCTGCATTACTGGGGAAAAAGAAACATTAGACAGGTAAAAAAACTAAAAACCTGCTGAACATGCAAGGTTGGCAAATACAACTGTTCATATTTAGAGGCCTGGTAGATGGCACACATGCCTGAAAACTAAATGGGATGCCATTGCATCAGAATGGATGAAAAAAAATGGACTGTGACATGCAACGCATGTGCACCGGAGAGGCATTGGGTTTGTGTGTTGGGGTGCCATTTTAAAAACGAGTGGCATTCCAAGACACTAACACACATGTTCACTAAAAAAAAACCCAGAAAATGTTATACAAATATACACATGGGTCCTCACTAGCTTTAAAGTGTAACTAAAGGCAACACTTTTCCATTTTTGATAGAGTAAGGGAGAGTTATACCCCTGCCAGTATTTTTTGCCATCTGTGGCCCACTGGAGAGATTTCCCTTCATGTCCTATAGCCGAAACAAGAAGTGAGAGGAAATTCCTCCAAAGAAAGGGAACCCGGTGTGCCACCAGAAGTAGTGGCTCTATTGCAAGATTTCCCCTCTACTAGTGTTCTGATGTCTACCCAAAAAATTTGTGATTTTTTTTTTCACTTTCAGATTCGGTGAGAAAAGCAAACAGGACAAATAGAGAGGGCGAATCTCCCTACCAGGGGCATGGACAGCAATAAAAACCTAATAGGCGTTCTAATCTCTCTCTCCATTCTAGCCAAAACTAAAATGTTTTGCCTATAGTTACACTTTAAACATTAATTTAAACAGGTCACATGCATTCCTTCTTGCTCTTAGCAAAAGATGGCTTCAGCACAGTGATAAATAACAAACATATTAATCCTAATTGCTGAAAAAATGAACATGTTTTGCTACTGCATAATATGGCCTCATATTACTGTAACACACATATTTCTATATTTCTTAAAGCGGAGCTCCACCCAAAAGGGAAAGTTCCACTTTAAGGCTTCGTCCTTCCCCTCCCCGTTAAGGATTGCCACCTTTGGGAAGCAGAGTGGGGAGAGGGATGGTTAGGGGGTACCCAAATTTGACAGGTACCTGCTCCCACCACTACCGCTGCGATCGCCTAGGTGATCAGAAAGTGGACGGTATTACCCCCCCACCCCCCTTCTTTTCTTCCTGTAGTGTTCTGGAACACGTGACAGATCCCAGAAGTCTACGGGACCATTTACAAAGCGCAGTGCTGCTCACGCATGCACAGTGGGCACCCGGCTGTGAAGCCGCAAGCTGTCACAGCCGGGGATACAGGATGGTTGGTGAATCTGGCTGGTGAGGACACCCCGGGATCCAGGGACAGGTGGGTATCTGTTTTTTAAAAGTCAGCAGTTACAGTTTTTGTAGCTGCTGACTTTTTTTTTTTTTTTACTGGACCTCTGCTTTAAGCAGTGTCAGCGTAAAAAAAAAAAAAAAAAAAAAAAAAAAGGGAAGATGCCATGTTACTTGTATGGTGTCTTCAGATCTAGTCTTTAACCAGGGACAACAAATATCAAGTGAGAAAACAACCAACCATACATTTTCCGTTAGATGAAATATCAGTGGTCTTATTAAAAAAAAAGCAAATACCAAAGCACAAAGGGCAATAACCTCTAGCAAGCAATAACAAATATACTGAAGTTAGATCAGTACAAAAGGATTCTGATTGAATGTCAAAAGGTGTAGCTCTTCACTCAGCTTTGCTGCATTAGTCTGCCGATGTCCATCATCCTATTAATGTGGTGTTCAAAATGTGAAAATTCTTACAACATCCATGGGGCCCAACGTTGTCTTGATATATCCATAGGAGGAGGGGGGGGGGGGGGGGGGGGGGCACGGGGGCAGTGTGAAAGCTTCCCCGCTGTTAGAACTCAATACAACAGCAGGAGAGATTGCTGCACCAACGTTGCTCAAGTTGGTACAGCAATCTGTCAGCTGGTTGAATGAAAAAAAAAAAGTCAGTGTGTACCAAGCTTTACATATACCCAGTGAAGTGACTGGCCTCAGGTAATATACAGAGATTAAACAAATCCTCCTACATAGTTCTGCAACTGTTCAAAGTGTAGAATTTATACAGCTTGTCTGAGCATTCAGAAAACAGGGGGCAGATCTCCGAGAAGGGCTCCAAGAGTTGACTGGAAGAAAAGGATACCCCCCCCCCCCCACAGCACAGAAGAACAGAGCTGAGGCTGCCACCCACAACCTGTGTGCTGAAGCTCCCTCCCCTGTCACCTCATCTCTTGGTGTCACGAAAACTTGTCAGAAGTGACTCATGGTGACAGAGGAACTAGGCAGCAGAGAGAAATCATACTCAGTGTTCTGGATTGAGATAAATACACACTATAGAAGGATATACTTTGCTCATATTTCATGTCAGAGGTTTACAACCACTTTAACCCACTCCTATCAGCACCAAAAATGTGAAATACGTGCAAACAAATCAAAAAGGTCAAGATAATTTTCAGAAGAACTGGAAAGAAGTTTGCCATACATACCCTAACTAGAGCATCATCAATGATGTGATCTCGTCTGACTTTGAGTCTCAAGTATGGATTGAGCTGTTGTCCTTGTACTAGACTGTAAAGCACTGTGATTCGTCGCTCACTATACATGCGGATTCTGTTGTCATAGTAGAGGCCCAGATTCTTTGTTACAGCATTCAGGATAAAAGGACATGTCATAAATGAGAATTTATTTTCAGTTTCTACTTTGAAGAAAGTATAGTCTTTGTCCATTTCAAGAACATCATTTAGTGGTTCATTAACAAATTCTTCAAAAGGGATGAGGGGTTTTCTGCAATCGATCGTTTTTACACCAAGTTCTGTTTCAAGGGGGTCTACTCGGGGCCCTTTCTTATTTCTTCGCTCCTCACCCAGAAGCTCTTGGAGGGTCAACTCACTTGATTCTGGGATGGGCTCTTCATCTTCTTCCTCATTGTGATCTGTTTCAATCTCACCCCCTACTACATTTGCATAGTAAACCATTTTCAGGCATTTTGTGGCAGCCACAATGGCATCGTCATCATTCACTAAATTTCGGCTGTTGAACTCATTACTTATAACTTTGTATGTTATGAGCTGCTGAAAGGTTTCCATCATGCGGCGAATCTGTTCAGCACTGTATTTTGACCAAAGTCGGATAAGTTTTGCTTGTGCTGCCAAAGGCAATTTGCTCATTGCTTTGCAGAACAACGGTAGAGCCATTTCCAGGTATTCCGGGCTATGGAGATTACAATTCTCCATTACTATAATGAACAAATTGAGATAATTTGGGTCCCGAGAATATACATTATGATAAGTTAAGTCACATTCCACATTGGGAGACAAGTAGACAAGTGCATTAAGAAAGGCAGTTTCTATTTTCTCATTAGAAAGTAACCTGTGATAGACCCGTCTTACTGCTTCAATGTCTAGAGACACTTCTTCTGGACCTAATTTCGGTATGTTGTTATCTCCCTGGGCACCGTCGCTTAACCTGGAGGAAGAAGCTGCAGAATCATCTTCCATAGCAGCAGCGGATGAAGCAGCTTTCTCCTTTTCATCCTCATCTTTGTCTTCATCCTTTTCCTGCAAGGATTTAAGCTCCTCCTTAGTATGTTGTTTTGCTTTTCGGAAGCTCTGAACCAAGGCTTCAGCACTGGAAAACACTCTGCCAATCACTCGGATCAGAGGAGAGTAATCCTCTCTTTCTCGACATAATTCAAGAATTTCATATATCTTTTCTTCAGACAAGAAACTCACATCTAAAAAAGGAAAAAAAAAAAAAAAAAAAAAAGGTTTTATCAACACCTCAACAATGTCATTCCACATTCAACATCTGCAAAAAGCCTTTCAACATTTTTTTTTTTTTTTTTTTTTCAAATACAAAGAAGAAGGTTGGAGCTTTTATTTCATGCACAAACATGTAGGACAAAATGTGACCACTGGCATTATGAGGGTTAATTTTCATTAGTGCCGACTACACTGAAAGGAGAAAACATTGCTTTTTTTTTTTTGTTTATGCTCTTCACACTTTACCTTACAGTGGTAGCAGTGGGGCTTCTCATTGCCAAAGAGATAAACTACGTCTCTTCTGCAACAAATGCTTCTTACCTGCTTGCAAGCACATTTGTTTAGAACTGGAAATGCACAGTTCAGCGGATAATCTATGCATGTCTCAGAGCAAGGATGACTTCGCTCTAGGGCTAAGTGCACACTATCGTGACTCCAACGTTGCACGCTTTCCACTGCGACTTTGGAGTGCGACTTCCATGTGACTATACCCTTTATGGCATTAAAGTAGTGCAAGAACTTTTTTTAAAGATGCTGCAATTAACCCCTTCACGTCCGGACACTTTTACCCCCTTCCTGTCCAGGCCAATTTTCAGCTTTCAGTGCTACCACACTTTAAATGACAATTGCGCAGTCATGCAACACTGTACCCATATGAATTTTTTTAGCTTTTTTTTTTTTTAGACAGATAAAGCTTTATTTTTGTGGTATTTATTCACCACTGGGATTTTTATTTTTTTTGCTATATAAATGAAAAAGTCCAAAAATTTTGAAAAAAAGTGTTTCTTATAAAAATTTTGCAAATAAATCATATTTCATCATAAATCTTGGAAAAAATTTATTCAGTTATCTTTTTAGTAAAAAAAAAAAATAATAATAACCCAGATTAGTTTAGAACCAAAAAATATATATTTTTTTATTTTATTTACAATTTTTATATTATTTATGTTTTTTTTTATTTTTATTTTACATACTGTCACCCTAGCAGTACAGTGTCACCATGGTGACACTCTACTTGTGGGGGGTGATGAATATATATATATATATATATATATATATATATATTTATTTTTTTTTTACACCGATTGCTTTTACACCCATAAAGGCTGTAAAAGCAATCATTTCTCCTTCTCTCTGGCTGCATTTTTGCAGCCATTGAGAACTACTGTGTGAGCTGTTATTGGTCATTGGAAGGCTGTTGTGAATAGCCTTGTACCATGTGACCTCTGTGATCATTCACAGATTTCACACGTAGCAAGCAATGATGTCAGAAGTGACATCTTGCTTACTACTCTGCATGTGATCGCTGATTGGCCAATCAGTGATCACATGATCGGGACCTCACACAGAGGTCCCGAACGACGGTCGGTGTTCCACTGTGTCCGGAGGACACAGCGGTCACCGGATCGCGATGCTGCACGCTCCCAGGAAGCGAACACAGTCCAAAATGGCGGGCACCATTTCTGAACAGCAACCTGCCCCTTGACTGCCACCGTCTGGCCGTTTATATACAGCGGTCAGACGGCAAGTGGTTACAAATTGGTCATACAAATTGGGATGGGTGCCATTGAAATAAATGGGTTGCAACTTTGTGTGTCCAAAGTGGCATGACGAGTCAGATTAGTGTAAACTGAGCCTCATGCACAGGAGTTACATTATCCTTGGCTGTGCAATCATGATGGCCAAAGACACTGGGACTCAGAAAAAGAAACTGGCACAGGTGAGGGAGCTCATGGAGACTAAATCACTGGACCATATGTAATTAATTACTGCTTGGTTTAGTTCAACTTCAAACAACAGTTAGCACAAGTAGTTGGTAATATGAGTAGTTAGATTATCAAAACACTGGGTGCCCTTTTAGCTGGACTGCCTGTAACCATATGAGCCAAATGGTTTGGTGTTCCAAAAGCAACAGCCTCCACATTTATAATTACATATAAGCATAGAAAGATTAAAACTGATGAAGAATAAAAGGCCTAAACACCAAACTGAATGACAGGGACCATCAAACATCATTAAGTATTGTGGCCCAACAGCATAGAATATAGCCATGCTTTGGTAACCACTTAAAAACCGGCAAATCCTGACTTTTTTTTGGCTAAAAAACTATTAGAACCCTCAAACATATTGTTTTGGAAACCAGGAACCCTGGAGAATAAAATGGTGGTTGTTGCATTTTTTTTATGCTGAACAATAATTTGCGCAGCCATTTTTAAAAACACGAATTTCAGGAAAAAATACACTAATACATTTTTGGCACACAAACAACATACCAGTTTTTTGGTACAATATAAAAGATGTTATGCCAAGTAATTAGATACCCAACATGTCTTGATTTAAAATTGTGAATGCCCATGGAACGGCCACAAACTACAGTACATTAAATTATCCATAAGCGACGCTTAAAAAAAGCCATTACAGGTTACTAGTTTAGAGTTAATCAGGAGGTCTGGCACTAGAATTATTGCACTCTGATGTTCACAGTGATATCTCACATGTGTGATGTGATCAAAGTTTACATATGTGTATGGGACTTATGTATACATACGCATTTGCGTGTGGGGACGGGGCACTTTTTTTTTTTTTTTTTTTTAAAGTGTCTTTTTTGGACCAACTTTATTGCTAAAACAAGGGATGAATAACATCCCTTGTGGTAGCATGGGCAGTGACATGTACACTTTACTGAGAGATCTGGCGTCTATTAGATCTCTCTTCTGCCATCAAAAGCATCTGATCAAACCTATCTATACCTAACCTATTACAAGCTGATAATGGATTTTAAACAACAAACCCAAACCGGCAGTGATGAATTACTTAGGTCACAGAGGGGAACTGGCACAGATGTACCTTCCTCCACTCATCATACCAGAGAGCCTGGAAACTTCTACATCATAGACCACTTCTACAAGAAAGAACATCATTCTGAGGACATATAGGTGTGAAGTACTTAAGCAATCTTGTCTGTGGAAACTATTGCAACTTAAACTCCAAACAAATTGACTGTTATTGTCATAGATGATCCAGCTAAACAGGCACCAATGATTTCTCCCTTTTGGATATCTGACAGGTCACCCACTTTAATAACTGCTTGTATGAACTGCTAATGAACATGGGGGGTTGAGTGCCTACCTCCTGTATAAATTAAACATCTCTGGAGTTGATTTACTAAAATGCAAATTCTGGTGCAGCTCTGCATGGAAATTAATCAGCTTTCAGGTTTTATTGTCAAAGCCTAACTGAACTAGCTGAAGTTTAAAGCCAATTGGCAACTATGCACAGCTGCCCCAGATTTTGCACTCTCCAGTTTTAGTAAATCAACATCATTGTCCTATTGGTAATATTTGAAATTCTGAACTATTCTATGCACATTAAGGGCCAGTTCACACTACATGCGTTTCAGTTGCATTTTTTTAGCATCTAAAATGCACAGAAAGTAGGTTATATGGTCGTCAATGTCATAGTTCACATTAGTGCTTGCAGTTCCGGATGCAGAAAAAAAAAAAAAAAAAAAAAGTAGAACATGCTGCATTTTTTTCTTCAAAGAACTGTACTGGAATGCGATGAAATGCCTCAAAAACACACCAGAATGCACCAAAAACGCACTGAGACACACATAACCCTATTTAAATTGAAGAAACAGAGGGAAAAAAAATTAACTGGAATGTATAAAAACCGCTCTAGAACGCATCAAAAACCCACCAGAACGCGTCAAAATGCACATGTAAAAAAAGTGTGAACCGGCCATAAAACAACTGCACTTTTATTTATCCTGTTGAAATGTTGCTTGTGACTAGGGATGCACCAATGCCGATATAGAGTATTTTCATGAGTGCGCATACTCCTGAATATACTACCGATACCTTAACTGATGCTAATGGATGCAAATTGCACCGCAAAGATTAGCATGTGCGATTTGAACAGGAATGCGATCCCTGTCCAAATCGCATGCAGTTTCCCCACTGCTTCTGCGTGAACTCAGGCTTGTCATAGCACGAGTTCACACAGGAGCGGTGCGGGAAACCTCCCTGCAGGCATCCCATGCTTAGTGTCAGTGGTAGGAGAGGAAAGAATGTGGTGGGGATTTGATCGTACTCGCCGATAAAAATACGTCATTGGTGCATCCCTACTTGTGACAGTATTTGGCTTACCAGATCATTTAGGCATTCTTAAAGCTGAATTCTAGGCAAACAAATGAAATGCATGTAAGGAAGCTCTCTTACCTGCCAAAGGTTTCATATTTCTATCCTTCCAGTCCTGGGATTTACACAGTATTGTCTGGCAGGTCAGGGGATTCATTCTTTGCTGCAACTCCTATCCATCTTTTTATGCTATCCATGCCCCGTCCCTCTCTCCTCCATGACTGGACAGTGAGAGAGCCGCAGAAAACTGTTACTTAGCTCTTTCTATCAAGCATGCTCTTTGCACTAAGCAAAATTAACTGGCATATTGTGCTGCTTCCACACTGCTAGTTGGGAGTTCTAGCATTTATGTATTAAAGAATAAAAGATTCATTACTTTATTTCTTTTTATATCTGTCTGGAGATCAGCTTTAAAACATAAGCAATGTGCATGTAAGCATTTGGGTCAAACATAAAACTAGCCTGGCAATGCTAGCATTTAAAGTTCAAAGAGTTATCCATAACAAAGAAAACTTGCCAAAAGATTCAGAATCTTCATGTGATAGTTTAGGAGTCCCGTTTCAGTAGCTACTCCACAGATGATTATTCTGGACTGTCTCGAAGGATAGGTTCACACCTAAGTGGCTCAGCAAGCCACGTTTGTGTAGGCATGGCAGCCCATTTACTTGAATGGGCTGCTGTGTCTAGGTTTCACGCAGGAAAAAGGTTCCTGCACCTTTTTAAAATGCAGCCGCAAGGAAATTGCATGTTGCTTTTGCACCATGTGATAAACGAGCTGTCTTTTTAAAAAAGAATGAATGGCAGCCCAACAACCTGCAGGAACAGGTGTGATTTACATGTTGCCCCGCACAAGTGTGAACCTAGCCTACGGGGTCTTGTAAAAGACTGTTTATGGAATATTTCCTTTAAAAATAAAAATAAAAAACAAAAAGCTTGATTTCATAAAATTTGGTGCGCTCCTAAACTCCCCAGCAGGACATGGGAGAAGAGGTTTTCTTCACTCTATGGCATAACACTTTAGTGACAAGTGTATATACAAACAAATATCTGGCATACTGGGAGAAGACTTATTCAGAAAAGAACATTCATTCAGCAAATATTTAACAGTTGCTAGAGCTGTGGCAGGCATTAACTGCCATGGTGGTAGTGAGAGGAGGAATAAAAGCATGAGCATTTTTAAGTCAAGCATTAAGATAAACAATTATAATGGCTTTACCTTTGAAGTCATCCCTGGGTTGCACCTCCTTCTTGTTCATCTTTCTCTCCGTGCACGAGTTGTTATGGGCACTTTTGGAGTTGTTCTCTAGATAAGACGAGCTGGTTCCTTTCTTAGAGGGATGAGGATCACAGAGTTTTGCATTAACCTTATATAAGTCGAGGGCCTTAATGGCTGCTGCATTGTTATCCATACGGAGAAAAGTAGGACAGGAAGCACAAAACTCATTCGTGCAGGAATCATTTCCACAACCCTCAGTTAACTGGTGGTAGTAGCGTTCTATTAGATGCTTTGCAGCTGCTCGCTTCCTGTAGCAAACATTCAAACAGGCATGTGGATTAGTACAGCTTTCATATACAAAGCTCATTCATGTTATTAGTAAAGCATGGTTAGTGTGGCACATACACAATAACACTTTTGGATGAAAAGATTTTTAAACCTAAGACTTTACAGAAGTTTTTAGATCAGCTGTTAAAACACCTACTACTAATCACAAGTATATACAATAGTAAAAATGAACTGTAAACATTTAGTGGTCTTTATATAGAGCAGACCTCCAGGCAAATACACAAAATTATGCTTTAATTGAATCAAATATAGAAAAAAATAAATAGTTCCACACTTGGTTGAAACCTGCCTTTATTTTGGCTTCCCACAGTCCTCTGCACTGAAAATAGGGTGGAAGGTGTTAGAGATATAGATAGAGATATATATATATATATATATATCTCTATATCTCTATCTATCAAATCAATCATGTTACACTGTATTTTCCTAGATTGTAAGCTCCTACGATTAGGCCCTCCTATCCCTCTTGTATTGAACTGTATTGTTGCTGTATTGTCTCCCGTTATATTGTAAAGCGCTAAGCAAAATATAAATCCTGTATAATAATAATAATTTTACAAGACTATCAATCTAGCATGATTTCAGGCATTCGGAGCTATGAGGAGGGGACCTAGGCTGTTTACAGGAGGAAGGCATATCTACAAAGGACCTTAGCAACATAACGTTATGCTTTCTCATAAGAAGACTACATAATTGTATTGAAGTAAAAAAATTAGTGAGTAGAAGTAGAAAACTGTGAGTTGTAAGTCTGCATAGCATACTCTTAACGATAACAGCACTCAGATGCCGTCAGGAAACCAAAGAATACCGAACCACCACCAACAGCAAAAAGATGCAGTTAGCACTGCTTGGTATCCTATAGCAGGCAGGATTTAAAGAGCAGGCTAATGGAGAAGTCCGCAATTACAATCCTCCTGCAGTTTACTTTGTGAACTTCTACATCCAAAACAAGTATACTTTCCGAGATAACAGAGAGAACCAACAATAAAGAAAAACGATCTGATCAAACAGAATGTAAAATCTTCATACTGAGACGAATAAATAAAAAAAAAAAAAAAAGAAAAAAAAAGTGGATTCGGAAACCATGCTTGGCACATTAAGTGTCACGATTTGATGAAAGCGGGTACCCTAATATTGGGATTTTTCTTTCTTCCACCATGATGACTGGACATTTTTATACTGGTGGTCTTACACTCATCTTGGCTACTTCGAAGCACGGCTGTGCACAAGAAAATTTTTTTTTTTTAATCAAAGATACTTTTTCAGGCAGGGATATGCGAGTGAAATATATTGACAGGTTTACAAATCAATTTACATGTATGCAAGTTTCATTTTAAAAGGAACTAATAAATCCATTGTAGAAACTATTTTCTGTGAATAATATTCATGTACGTATCCATATTGGTGATTAAACAAAGATATCTGACAGTGTATTCAACTCTGTTCAGCCTAATCATTTGTTACTAGCTACTTTAGGTTAATGGACTGTTAATGCCATGTATGCATGGCAACGCATCTTAAAGTAGAACTAAACTCTCTCAATATGAATTATTTTAATCCTTATGCGGCTAGCATTAGTAAATTGATTTGAACAGATATCTTTATTTGTTTTAATTTTTTTTACATTTCTTAATTTACTTCCTGGTTTCAGGCATCCCAGGAGCCTTTATGGGTATTTTTTTTTCCGATCATCTGGAGGAGGGAAGGAAGGGCTCTCTTAGCTAAGCACACCATACTGCCTGCTTGCCTTTAGCTGGGGCAGATGGATTCCAGAAGTAAATACCACATGAATCATCTGCCCTTACTCAAGATGGCTGCAGCTAGAAATGCTAGGGGTGTCTTTCAAAGCAATTTTCCAACAAAATAGAGCATAGAGACATGGATGGGTGAGATTGCTTTAAATATTAAAACTGAATCAAATAGCATTTTCAGTTAGTGGCGTTCAGATACAGTTAAGTTCTGCTTTAAGTGCGTTAGTGAGATGTGATACCTAGGCCACACCTTCCAGTGAATATACTTTGGATCATAACAATGAAATAACGTGTTTCAGCCAAATTTTTTTTAAAAAAAAACAGCACTATATTTTGGCAGCGCACTGCAACGCTTTTTTGTCGGCATGTGTAATAGGTCAATTGCACTTAAAGTGTTACTAAGCCCACAACAGTAAAATCAGTCTGTATATGTAGTAAACCATGCTTGTTATACTCACTGGAACCTAAGGGGTTAATCTTTGACAATGTGTAAAGTCTGTTTGATCCTGTCTTCTCTGATCCTCCCCTTCTACTGTCCACAGTCCATCTGCTGATAGTACAGAGCTCTAGGAGTCACTCTGCACATGCTCAGTTTAGTGTGTCTCTTTTTTTTTTTCTTTGGGAGGGTGCATATGATCAGCACAGGGCCAATCAGCACTGTCCAGACAGAGGTTCAGAAGTTATGCAGCCGCATAGGACAGTCAGAGCAGAATGAAAACTCCAACGAGCTTCAACCAGTGCTCTGCTGGACACTGACAGAAGTCACAAGCCATATACTGCTGATGAGAAAAAGCATTCAGAAGTATTTACTAAAATAATTGCATTTCCATGTTGTGTGTACTGTGGGAGTTCAGATATAGTGAATGCAGAGTCCTGGGTTTAGTAACACTTTAACTTCACCCTCTCAATCAACATTAATTTTAAACCTTATTCTGCTTGCATTAGTAATTCAATAGAAAAGAATATCATATTTGTTTTTAACAATTTTTTTTTTGCATTTCTTCAGTTAATTCCTGGTTTCCATGCCTAGGAAAATTATGTCATACATCCTATGGATCTTCAAGGGGCATGAGGGGTTTTCTCAGCTAAGCACACCTTTTTGCCTGCATGGCTGAGCTAAGGGCAGATGGACTCCATGAAGTAAATGCTACATGAATCACCTGCCCTTACGCAAGATGGCCATGGCCAGAATTGCAAAGGGGTGTCGTTCAAAGGGACCTCTCAGCAAAATACCGTAAAGCATGGATACATGGATGAATACTCGAGTTTGCTTTCAATAATAAAAATGAATTAAACTTGCAAAATCTGTAGGGGCTCAAATAATTATTTTCCCCACTGTACATGTGAACGTAGGCTACATGAAAACATGGCTTAAAGTGTTTTTTTTTTTTTTTTTTTTTTTAGGATTCCATGACTTCTAGCCTATCAGTAAAGAGGGAAATGTTCTAGTAACAGGGATTTTCCATATTACCCTCATTAAAAATTAAATTTCCACTGCAAAACGTATTTCTCAAAGCAGCTCAGTCATAATGAAACTAAAAACAATATAAACATACATTTATCATGACTAGTATGTTGAACATAAAGAGAAAACATTTTCCCCAATCTTCTTACATTTGGGACCTATCACGGTTTTATGTGGCAAAAATCTTTGAAAAACAATTCTCAAAACTATACACACACATACTCTAAAGACCAAAAATGACATCCGTTTCATTCCATAAAGTGTACTAGAAATGCAATAACATACAGCCAGACTATGTGTATCCGCACTCAAAGTAGACCAAAAAAAGCAAGGTCCGCTTATTTAACCAGACCCCCACACCAATGGCTAAATATTGCATTAAACATCTGTGAAGAAATTTAAAGCGGAACTCCACCCAAAAGGGGCAATTTCACCTTCCCCCCCTCCACTGCCAAATTTGGCAATTTTTGGGTGGGAGAAGGGAGTGGGTACCTGGTTTTGACAGGTTACACACTCCCACTTCTGGGTCATCACAGAGATCTGAGCTGAACGTTTGACCCCCCACCCCCATCCCACACAGCCCTCTGGGATGCTTGACAGGTTCCCAAAGACTGCGGCCCATTCACAAAGCAAAACTCTCTTTACGCATGCTGGGTAGGGAAGCTGCTGTGAAGCCGCAAGGCTTCACTGCCAGTTTCCCTTACTTAAGATGCCGGCGCCAGCACCCAAAGCCGACTGACGATTCAGGTGAGGGCATCACTGGACTCCTGAACAGGTAAGAGCCCTATATCAGGGGTGGCGAACACGCGGCTCTCGAGCCGCGTGCGGCTCCCGGCCAAAATGAATGCGGCTCTTTGCCTCTTATCATATTTTGTATACTGTGGCTTTTTGCCAAGTTTCATCTTTCTTTGGGGAGGTGGGGAGCGGGTACCTGAATTTGACAGGTACCCGCTATTACTTCTTTGTTCTTTGATCTTACCTGTTCCTCTATCCAGCGGCACTCTGTCTTCTGGCTTCTGTAGTGTACCTGGGCACTGGGCATGACAATCACAAAGGGTGCCAAGTGCGCATGCGCACTGGGAAGCAGTGCTTTTTGTGAATGTGAGCGCCATTACAGAAGCCGGGAAGACAGCGCGCGGCTGGATCGAGGAACAGGTAAGATCAAACAAAAACTCTGCGGAAGTAAGAGCGGGTACCTGTCAAATTCAGGTACCCGCTCCCCACCTCCCCAAAGGTCAGCAGTCATCTGTGCTGTCTGCAGTGAAATGAACACATTGTTGTTTTGTAAGGGGAAGAAAGTGTTATGGTGAATAATATGGTTTTAATTATGTGTTTTTGTGTGGTGTGGCTCTCTGACTTTCACAGTTTAAAATTTTGGCTCTTTGTGTCTAACTTGTTCGCCACCCCTGCCTTATATTAAAAGACAGCAGCTACAGTATTTGTAGCTGCTGACAATTTTTTGGGGGGGAGCCCGGAGCGATGTGGAATAGGGGTGCTGGCCTGATGTAATAAGTGGACTATGCATTTTGTGCAAGCTCTGCTTTAAGTAAATGGTCCAATATCTGACATAAATTAAAATATCTTCACGTAATAAACCATTACTTCCAATAAACAATAATTGACAATTCCTGTGAGAAGTTATCAATAAACAGGCATTGGCTGTGATAATAAAAAGCACTGTTCTTATTGGCCAGCAGAAAGGTTTATAATTTTTTTTTAATCTAGATTTGCTTTGCGATGCAGAAAAAATAAAATAAAATATAATTTGAATTGTAAATGTTGCACACACTTAAAATCTCCATT